AAATTTAATGCCTGAGCTAGCACAAAAACTGCATGCAACAATGAAAATGTTAAAGAATTAAAATCAAAGGCAAAGTAAACAAATCAATTGTAGCCACATTTATAAAATATATAAAATAGAATTGATGGCAATTTTTATGGCCATTCTTTAATTTCAATATATGAATTCAAAGCAGCATTGCGAATAGCTGTCGGGAACTGAAATGAATAGAAATTGCACACAACTGCGCGACGTGGTTTGGCATTTTAAAACTGACTCTACGGCAGCATGTGAAAGTGTGCAGCTCGGGCATAAATCTTGCCAAGCACAATGGCCAAAACAGGAGCCCAGCAGTTTGAAATGGCGACAAAGCAGGCAGCAGTCGCCAAAGCAGTCACAGGAGTAGTCATCGGAGCCCAAACACCGAAAGCACTTAGCCATGGCTGTGAAGCTGCCTAATTTATGGGCCAGGCCGGGCCGGGCCTGTCTGAAAGCACAGAGAACCAGCCAGACAGAGAGCCCCACCCAAACGTAGATAGACAAACGGCAGAGCAAATAGCTGCAGATTAGCCACAGACGATTGCACTGAAACAATGCTAAATGCATAGAGCAAGACGGGTTGCCACAGAGAGGGGCGCTGGTGCGTTTGGATATGTGAGCATTCTGCAAAGGCCATAAGATTGTGTTATGCACGCCACGCATTCACGCCATTCAAATCGATGCGGCGCCTGTGAAAACACTTTCGTATTATTTTCAGTTGCCATAAAACTTCAAATTGATATAACACAATTCGCTAATGCGAACGCCAAATGGCGAATGACACTAGCTGAAAGCACACGTTCACACATGAGAGCTGTATGGCAATAAAGATCCTACGAGAGAAGCGAGTTAAGTAAGTTGAGTCAAAGATTTAAGTTAGCAGTAAGATACAATATTTGGCACTAAGAAATGTCTAGTCTAAAAATATATTATTTGTTCACATTATATTATGATTATCTTAATGTATGTATACCTTTGATATGATAATGAAACAAAACAATTTGAATTTTTCTACTTAGATTAATCGTATACTTCAGCGTCATATTTGGATAATATCATTAGGGCTTAATAAATAGAAATGGCATAACTTTTTTATGAGAGAAGCTGTTGAGAGGGAAAGAGCGGTAGCTGCTGGATGACGACTTTCATTTTATTGTTATGGTTATTACATTTATTCGCCTAACTCCACTGACATTTATTGCAAAAAGTAAATGTTTGATGATAGTCACGTAGTTGCTACTACTACTACTTAAACAACGACAGTCAACAACAACAGATACAACAGCAGCTTGAAAAAAAAGAACAAACACAAAAAACAGGAACTGTGCAGAGTTCAAAGTTGGCGGCACATGACATGCAAAAACAAAATCCCAAAACACTGAAACGTGCTTTTTTGACATTTTCCACAGTCTGTAAGTGTTTGCGTGTATGTGTGTGTTGTGTCGTGTGAGGCACGTGTGTGTGTGTTAGAAAATTGAATTTTGCTGCCAAAAAAAATTGTGTTGTATTGATTTAAAGACAAGAAGCAAGCGACAGGACGCATTAGGGTCAATTACCGCTGCTGCTAAGTGAATTGACAATAAAATCAAAAGCAGCCAACAAACTGTTAACTGATGATGCCACACGCGGCAGAATTCAGCACATTGTTCAACTGTTAACTAGCACACACATACACACACTTGCACACACTTGCACACACGCAGACACAAACATTGTATTACTTTCATTATCTGCACAAATATTTGGCAGTTGCCAGTTGGCTCAGTTGCCAGCTCAACAGTTTTGGGCAAGTTTTTAAGCCGCTTAGAGATCAACCGAAGTGAAAGTTATTGTGTGTTGACAACAATCAGACACACACACACGCCCAGACACATACGCAGCGCACACACACGTATTTTGGTGCACATTTCATAAATGTGCCAAAGAACAAACTATTTTTTGTGCCTGCTCCTCTGGTTGTTTTTGTTGTTGTTGTTGTTGTTGTTTTTGCGTGCGCTTTTGATGAAGTTTCCGGCTCGTCTGCTGCCAGTGCTGCTTAAAACACGCTATTTGTCGCACCCGTGGGGGCGGTCTGGGCCATACGATCTTAACTTTCGCACATGCCCGAAACCATGAAACTATGCACACAAGGACCACAAAGTTGTGTCGAGCCCTCAGGAAGCTTTCAACCTGCCTGCTGCCTGCCTGTTGTAAATATTTGCCTTTGTATGGCAGGGCATAGCCGGCAGAGCAAACATCTCAGACAGCTGGCCACCCCGTTTTCTTGGGACACCCCTGGTGCTGCTGCCAATTTGAGTTTGAGCAGAGACACGTTTAGCTATTGCTGGCATCTGAAGCGTCGTTGAGCCAAAGCCAACAAGAAAGTCAATTTATGCAGAGTCCAAAAAGTTTACGCTAGCTATTCATATGCCCTGCCCAGCCAGGCCAACCACATGGCGTATGAGTTATAAATTGCAAATTTTCAATATTGCAAACTTGGCACAAAGAAAACCGCAAGTTTATTGCTCGAGAAAGCTAATTAACAGTTTTTTTTACGACTCATCAATTTACACATTTACGTTCAGCCGAAAAATAAACAAAAGAGGAACATGTTTTGGTGCCGCCTTCCATATATTTCTTTTCGTGTAAGCATCAAAAAAGTAAAAAGAAAAACTGAGGCACACACTCACAAAGAAAAGCGCGTGTATATTTACGACACACTCGTTGCAGGCAGCGTGTCGTCAGCGGGAGGTCGTGTATCAGGGAGACAGGCTGCTGGTACTTAAACAACTTGGCGTATTTATTTAGCACGTGTTTTTAGGGCGTCATGAGTCGCGGGTGTCGTGGGCATATTTGTTACTTGCTTTTAATTAACAAATGCCTCGAATACTCATTTTTGTAATCATTGCGCTGCTTAATTAAACATAAAAGTCTAGCACTGAATTAATGCACAGTCTCTTTATAGGTTAGCAGGAGCTGGGACTAGAAATATGGCTTTATAAAATCTGGCAACAATTTTCAATTTGCAATCATCGCTTTTCTTATTAGACAGCATCAAAGAATTTTATTAATTTATCACTCATTATATCTTTTGAGCGCACTTTCTCTCTCCCACTCCTTCATTTCACTGAGACCGGCAAATGAAGCAGTGCTCTCTGCAACTGTTAAGCAGTTCCGGCTGTTAACAGCTGCAGCGCTGTTATGTTACTCTCACAGTCTGTTATTAAAAGTAATTGTTACCAATCAATCAATTATTTACTTCAACAAAACATCAAGTTAAAAAAATAGTACTGTTAAATATTAAAAAAAATCAAAACGCATAAAAACATTTACGTCAACAATTAAATTATTCCCTATTACCGTATTCAATTAAAACGTCAAAATGATTTGGTCTGCAATTTGTAATTGAATTCCTGGCTTAACAATAATGTCCACTAATCCGTTGATATATTGACAAAGCTGTTTAGCCTTTAATTAAATGCATTTGCATAATCAATTGAAAACGTCAATCGCTTCAACATGGCTTGTATTTGTATTTGTTTGGCTGGTTACTGCAGCATGCGCATCAGTTAAATTGTAATCAATATTTAAACAATCTAAACTTGATAATTGAATGCAGGCAATTAAAAAGCATTTGCAAACTTTGCACCCACTCAACGCAAGATGACGATTCCCGCTCAAATGCCCTTCAATTTCGGGGCATTTTCTGTTTGTTTTTGTCAAGTGCCACTTGAAAAGTGCTTCTTCACGCGCAGACATTGGGCTATCAAAAAGGTTGGCACAATGAGTGCTTCTTCTTAACAGTCGTGAGCATATCTTATCAATTACGTTGACAAATATTTGTCTGAACCGGTTCGCAACTGATATAAAAACATATCTGAGAGTGTATTTGCGCAATGCAGGCGAAATGGTGTGGATTGGGGACTTAGTTTTATTACAGCCTTAAAAGCGCTGTTCAGATTTTGTTTGCATGAGGGCTAAAACTTGTGAAAATCAAATATTTTACAAATGATATAGTTGTGATATATGTGGGTTATAAAATATATGCAACTCTTTATTATTTGCATCTTCTATTTTATTTCAAACCTGTTTACTGCAGATAAGTATATCATTCCAAAGAGTTAAGCTATTTATCTTAGTTCTCAGTTTATTTAGAATAAGAATTCCTTTCAATTCTGATTACTATTGATTCTATTTTTGGAATATAGTCTTTAAGTATTGAGTATAGAAGACTACGGTTAGACAAGCCGACTATTAACGTGTAGTCATTCTAAAGTTAGACAAATCGGTTTGCTAGATAGATATCCGACGACTTTGGTCTTTCATGTTTATTTGCAGTGTCTAGCGGCAGAAGTTTATTGGGTTTGCGAGCTGGGTCTAGTAGGTTCTTACAATTAGAATTTAAAAATGTGATTTATGTAATTTATGCGACTTTAAAAGCTTAATAGCTAGTGCTGTAATCGTAATGTGACATCGGTAAGGCTAGAAAACTAGTCTGTACGATTTTGTTTAGACAGCTAATCGGCAGCAGTTTAAATAGCCAACTTTGTGTCTGGCCTAAAGCAAGGAAAGGGTTTCGCTTACAAATAATCAGCCTGTCTGACCGTAGCTTTACTTGCACTTGTATACTGTGTGGATCTAACTTGACTGTGCTTTTTTCTTTCATTTCGTTTCAAGGGTAGACGAAATAATCAGAAGAAATTTGGTTTGTTGACATTGTGTCTGCTACTTTGTGGTAGGTTAAGTGTCGCATGCAGATAAGAGAAACAAAGAGGCGCAGGCACAGGCCACTGCAGACGCGCACTCTGCAATTCGCAACAATGGCAGATGGTTGATCAAAAGCTTGTCCTATCAATAACTTATTAGATAACACAATGTTATTGCACTTTCTGTCAGCGACACTCCGAGCATGCACTTCAGAGCTAATCGACACGAGAGCCAAGTGCTCCATATAAAAGGCAGTGCCCGGCCAATATGCACGGTACAATGAACGTTCGAACGTTTCACAAAACAAACACGTGCGAACAAAGGGATATCAAAAATGAAAGTGCAGCTAGTTTTAGCCCTGTTGTCCTTGGCAGCATTGGCCAACGCCAGGAAACCATTGGCTGCGCGGTACGACAATTTCAAAGTGTACCGAGCTTTTGTTGAGGATAACGAACAGTTGGAGGAGTTTAAAAAAGTTCATCAACACATACAAGTAGGTGCAGCGACACAAAAAACGGATAACGAATTGGAAAAAAAATGACAATTTTCGCCACTTTTAGGTTCATATACTGCATGAGATTGGCGGATCTAACCGCAGCTATGATGTTATTGTTGGCCCGCTTTTCCAGAAAGCCTTTGAGAAAGTGCTGCACGATTTGGAGGTGGAATATGAGATAATCGTCGAGGATTTGCAGGCGTAAGGCTTAGGCTCAATCTCTGTTTTTTTATGAAAACAAGCTGTAAAACTCAAAATTTGCTTGTCTAGTTTGCTTGACGAGTCGTCAGTTGATGAGGATGCGCCCATGGACTGGGAAACTTATCATCCGTTGAGTACAATCTACGACTGGGTGGATGACCAGTGCGCTGAGCACGACTATCTCGAGTGTAAGGTCATAGGTCACTCCCATGAAGGGCGGCCCATCAAAAGCGTTAAGCTGTCGAAGCGAGAGGGCAACAAGGCCATTTTAATTGAGGGCAACATTCATGCCATGGAATGGATATCCTCGGCCACAGTCACCTACATATTGAACCAGTTAATTAACTCGAAAGATGCTGAGATGCAGCGCCTGACGGAGGAGTACGATTGGATTGTCGTGCCCATGGTGAATCCTGATGGTTTTGTCTATACGCACGAGGTGGAGCGCTTGTGGCGCAAGAATCGTCGCCCCAATGGATATACGAACACATCGGGTCCCTGCTTTGGCATCGATATGAATCGTAATTTTGATTTCCATTGGAGCGGCGCTGGCTGGAATATAGAGGATCCCTGCGATCATTGGTTTGGTGGCGATGAGCCGAATACCGAAAGGGAAATTCTGGCACTGCAGGACTTTGTTAGCTCCTTTGAGGATGGCTACATACGCGCCTACATGGCCTTCCATGCCTATGGGCAGTATGTGCTGTTGCCCTATGGACACTCGAACACAGAATTTCCGCCCAACTATGACCAGATGATGCGCATTGCGGCCGCCTTTGCGGATGGCGCTGTGGATGCGTATGGCTCTGTTTTTACCTATGGCGCCAGCGGTTTATTGAACTGTAAGTGTTGAATGCTGTTTGTACACGAATTCTGCCATGCGAAATGCTATTGACCTTTGACGCGCTGCCTTCCTTTATTGTAGATGTTGTGTCTGGCGCTGCTAAGGACTGGGCCTACGGGGTTAAAGGCATACCATTCACCTGTACCATTGAGCTGCGTGATAAGGGCACATTTGGCTTCTTCCTGCCATCCAATCAAATTACGGAAGTTGGCACCGAGGTCACCGAGGGTCTTAAATCGCTCGTTGCCAAGGCAAATGATGAGGGCATTTTCGATTGAAATCGGTCGAGTGGGAAACTTTTAAAATTCTCAAATGCCGATAACAAATGGATTAGATTGTAGCAGCCGCTTTTGAAATTATTTATAAATAATAGAAAAATATATACATATATTTTAATATGATGAGCATTCCAATTGCGCTACAGCGAATGAGTAATATTTGAGTAGGCAGTGCACTGCTTGTTGGAAAGCAGTAAAGGGCTTTAGAGTACTGCATACATAGCGCCTTTCAAGCAGTTCAATTTCCGGTTTAAGTGCCTGCTGTACGGAAAACAGTGCGCCTGTACACTGCTTGCTTAAAATCAATTTAGCTGTGTGAGGTCCTGACTAAAAGCTTGGGACAACAATTTTAACAGCAACTGTTGATTAACAGTCTGCTAAATTTATATTTGCAGCCTGTTAAGCAATATTTGAATGTTGATAACGGTGCGGTATGTCCAAATAAATAAAAATGAAATTGTATGTTATAATTATATGATAGAAATTATATAATAAATGTTAAGTTTAGCTGAGGAAATTTTAATTATACATTAATTTTTTTTTATTTAAAAGACTAATGGAAATACCCCTTATATTTTTCTCAATTTAATGTTGACGTCAGTTAAAATACAGTGCATTATTTAAGAATGAAATATTATACGCAGTTTTAGCCATTTGAACAAACATTTTTCGCTCTGTTGACAAGCTCATTTATAACCCCTAGATAACAAAGCATTGTAATATAGATTACATTATTTTACTAAGATTTCAAGTGGTTTTCGGTCTTATTTAAAAGCCTCTCCACTTAGCTTTAACACCCTCTTATTGGCTCGCTTATTACAACGCACACTCTTGTTAGCGTCCAGCTGCAATTAAGTCACAAACTTAAGTGTAGCTTGTCAGAATAACATGTACTTATGTCGCTTGAGCCAAGCAACTTTACTTTTGCCACACAATTATGACAAAAGTGTGGCCTCTTATCTGGCTCATTAGCATTAGGACTTAAGCTGAGCGAGTCACGGCAGGTTCACAAGCTGAATTTGAGCTCCATTGATTTCATTTGGCTGGTCACGTGTCGCACATTTGCGCCAAGAAAAAAAAGTAGAAAATATCCAGACACAAAAATAACAATAGTGTTCGTCGAAGATGAAATACGCTAGCAGAGGGATTTAGTTATTTATATTCATTATTAAAAGAATACGCTTAAGTATACGTTATATGAACTATTAAATATATTTGTTATTATAAAATTACACTAATTATATATAGTTAAGATATTTTTCTCTCTTAAAGGACTTAATGATAAGAAATGCATGCAAAACAATATAAAATTTGGTGCCTAACTATATATAACGACTATAGCTCATTGATCACCCGATTTATACTATAACTACCTCATATATGACACACTGGTCAGCTCTTCTTCAATTTAAGCTTCTCAATTCGGCTACCTAATCAGTTCGGAAATGCGCTAACATTTGATGACCCAATTTAAGGGTATTAAGGGCACAAATTATGCATATTGTTGGCCCCACTAAATATTATGTGGCAATGAGCATAAAAGTTTCACGCTATACGCTAGGTTTTCTTTTATGTTAATTTTTGGGTGGCATATGTAGGAAATAGGGGACCTTTTTTTGCCAATAACCTGTGCCTTCTCAGACGCTTTGTGCTATTGTTTTCGCTGGCTGCGCCCACGCGATATAAAAAGGCGAAAGTTAATTGAAAATATGTTCGCAAGTCAAAGAAAACGAATCTGCTTGACTGCGTTAATGCTGCCAGCTCAAAGATAACCGCCTACATTATATTTACAGGATTTGTATCTTTGGGTTGTTATTTGGTTTGCATATTTGATTACAAGAAGCTGAGGTATGTTGTTCGCACACTTTGAGAGCGACTCTTATCAGGTGTCAAAGGCGAGCTAGTGATACGAGTGCAGCATGTGTAAAGGCAGCACATTTCTCGCATTTCCGGCATTCTCTTTTTATAGAGAGCATGTGTATACATGTATCCCGTGTGCGGCTTGTATATTTGCAGTATTTGCATGTCAAAGAGCTAGAAAATCATTGAGACGAAAATGATGTGCCGATATTAAAGTCGATCGTACTATATGGTGGCATGCCTCATTATGTGTGCGTGCGGGCAGGAACTGCTGCTTGGTTATCGCAGCGAAATGTATTTTGCGCGTGTGAAGTTCTTCAAGTGCATACAACCCAATACAGCCGCCCCCCAACCCACGCACCAACGGGAACTCTATCATAAATAGCAGGGCAGGATAAAGCAAGGCTCTGGCTTGGCGCTAGGATGCGACTGGCATGGCTGCATTGGACACGTGAAACCATCATCAATCTAGAGCCAACGACAGTTTTAACGACTTCTTGTGGATTACTTCAAACAAAATAACCACTTTGTAGTCGCTGCAATTTTATGTTGGCCCCCGGTTGCTGTTGATGGCCCTGGACTTCCGCTGCGGCCTCGGTCTCGGCCACGGCCACGGCAACAGCTTTTGGCTTTGGGTATTTGCTGCATTTGGATAAAAGTTTTGCTGCATGCCGCAGAATGTTGCCGGCAAATGCCGTTGGCCAAAGTGCGAACGTTAACAAAAATTGCAGCTCACATGCAAAGCTTAAACATCAATTTTTATTATTCCTGCAGCCAGGTGGCAAGCACTTGGTTGCCACTGCCGACAGGTAAAGTAGCTAAGGAGATGTTGCATCAATTGGTAATGGCGAAATAAAGGCGATTAGCCAACTTTGACAATTGATTTAGAATCTCAGCAGGGCAAACAAAATGTGCAACAGCAATCGAGAATCGCAGGCACGAAATTGGAAAAGTTTAAAGTAAAGAACAAATTATTTAAATTTAACAATAAAGCTTATCTAAAAAATATATTCATTTTATAATGTACACTAAATTTTTCAGAATGTTAAAAAATGAATGAGAAGCACAGATTTATCAGCAAAGATAAGGAATTATTATTTGGAGATTAGCTAACCCTTAACAACTCCTACACTTTTGTATTCTGAACAGGCTTTTAGCTTTAAATTTTTATAAATTGATGCACTTAAAACTTAGGTTGACATTCGCTTTGCTGACAATTATAATGAAATAAAAATAAATAAATTATAACATTTTGATATGGCTGATTTTGCTTTAAAAATTTTCCATCTTTATTGTATTTTATCATATTAATTATATTAACAAGAAGTTGTTATCGAAAATCTAGATAATGAACCACCTTTAGCCCGACATACTTTACATTTAATTAAAAAACGTTAACTAAATGCCCAAAGGCGTGGCGAAAAAAAAAATATAAAAAAAATTAAAAAGAAAACAACTGAAAAACAACCCTTAAAATAGTTTAGCAGCTGTTGCTGTTGCATTGCTTTTGCCCAAAAGAGAGCGCAACGCATGAAAACCAAAACGTTGAATCCCTACAAAATGTTGCCCAACGGCTGTGGCCAGTTTTTTCTGTTGTTGTTAACCCCCAGGTGAAGCAGGAGCAGCAGCAACAGCAGCAGAAGCCCGCAACAGGCAGCAGCAGGCAACAGCAGATGCGACAAAGCTTCATTAAAATTAACAAAACTTAATTGCAGCTTACGTGGCACGTAGCATGTTGCAAATGTGCTTTGCAATCTGTTTGATGGCCCCTACAATCAGCACAGCGTGTAGGGGAGAGACGCACCTGCCGCTGATCGCGATGTGGCAGGCAGCCTGCCAAATTTGATGTATTGCATTCGGAACTGGCTGGCTGGTAGGCAGGCAGGATACTCCCGTGATCCTTGGAGCAGTCGCAGATTGCAGCTGCAAAAGGATTAGTGCACGCGTGAGTTCAGCTGCAAACAGCAGAAGAAAGGACATGACATAAGCTGGCGACGGGCAAACAGGCCAAAAGCCGAACAGGCCAACAAGCCGACGGGCAACTGGTTACGGGGCAAAATGAAGTTGAAACCTTGCGTGCAACTGTTATTGACAACTCGCCGCCCCCGTCACACCCGTTGTCCTCGCACCGCTGCAGGCAGTGAACTTTCCTCGGCTTGTTGTAACCCATTTGGCCTGTCAATGGCTTGTAACTTGGCAAAACTGTTTAGGCCAACTTTGGAGCCGAACTTTGGCACATGGCATGCCAGAAATTACGTTAAGCGCTTTAGTGCCTTTGACATTTGCATGCAATGACTGAAGCTGCAGCCACGGGCAGACGGGCAGACATTTTCTGCAGCCATAAAAACAATATCCTGAAACTGCAATTACCTCCCCCGCCCAGACGCCCACAAAAGTGTAACAAAGGTCGCTGTGCTGTCATTTGGTCCAAGGGAAATTCAATTCGCTAGCAGCATTCTATCACCTGACAAAACCGGCATTGCCGAAAAACTGGAGCGAGAGATGTTGAAATACCAAATATACTCTACCAGTTAATACTCTAATTATATAAATAATACCAATAATAATACCAACACGTCTCTATCTCATGTGTTACCCCACAGACCAGTTGGATACGCAACTATCCTCTTTTTCTTTTAGTATAATTTCCCAGATATTTCGGCAAACAATACAATTTTATAACAGAAAATTACCTTTCTTATATGAGTTTTCGCTAGTTTGTATATTTATATCTGATATAAAAGCACGATGTTGATAATATTTGGTCAATATGCAATAATAACATTCGTATGGGTTCATTCAAGAATACTTGGCACTCTATATTTATTTGTACATCGAACCGCCCATTGATCTGGAACCTTGACAACACATATATAAATTATGTTGTCGTAGATGTCACCTTGGATTGGTTACACATCTTGTGCGGCAATTATAATACCCATTGCAAGGGCATAAAAATGTCCAAAAGTGAACATCAATTTTGGCCAAGTTTGCAATTAATTGCAGGCGACCAACAAACGCTGACGGCGGGCGGTGTCATATTCATAAATTGTGGCCAGCCGGTGCGGCATGAGGCCTGTGGCTAAATAGTTAGCCATATGGCGAGAGCAGTGCAGCGACAGAAAGAGAACGAGCTAGAGAGAGAGCGAGAGAGAGAGAGAGTAGAAGTGTACTGCGTGTGGTTTGTGGTATCAGCAACAGCAAAAGCAACAGCAGGAGGCGTGTGTGTGTCTGGCGACGACAGCTGTTTGAAGTGTG